AGTGTTTTACTGTTCAAATGGAACCACCTATGACGTCATCACTTTCCTCGTTTGCATAATACAAAAACGTAAATATCTCTAGAACGAAAAAAGATATTCCAAAAAGGGAAACACCATTCTTCTTTACTTTGAAAAGCCTCAAATAAACAGCAATTATTTTTTTACTTCATAGGCACTTTAATTGCTGAAGAAAGTAACTGCGTTAAGTCATGTTATCTCTTCTTTCGTCTAAATAGTTGGTGGTGTAAAGTACATCTTAAACTAAAAAAGTTTTCAGACAGAAATTTCATACCAGAAGGTCATGACAGTCAGAGCAATAATAGCAAAACGGGCAATAGCAAATAGAACAGTCCACACCCAGAACCTAAAACACAAAAGAAATGTTAATCAGTGAAAAGCAAGAGAATTCCAAAACTATCACAATGTTGTTGTACGTCTCAACATAATATGTTGACAAAAGGGTTTCCAAAGGGTTTTGAAAGGATTTCAAACCCTTGAAACTGGGTCTCCAAAGGGTTTCAGAATGACCTCAAACCCCCTAAAAACNAAAACGTAAATATCTCTAGAACGAAAAAAGATATTCCAAAAAGGGAAACACCATTCTTCTTTACTTTGAAAAGCCTTTCAAATAAACAGCAATTATTTTTTTACTTCATAGGCACTTTAACTAGTTTACAGGCATGCCACTGAAACAAAGGAAACAATGCGTATACAAGCGTATACAAACTGGAAATTTTAAGCAGCTTTCTTATGTCTAATCCTGATAATATAAACATATTGACCAAGCTTGTTCGATGCTGATGCAGAAATGTCGACCTCATTCTAGCCTGCAGTATAGGTGGATTAGCGGGTTCTAACGCGATACACGTGTGCGCGCGCGAGGCGCGAGACCGAGCACTGCGCGCGCGCACGTGTATCGCGTTAGAACCCGCTACCTGTACTGTAGGGTAACCTCATTCAGTTTTAGACCTATAATTGTAGGTCCGATATTTAGCAAACAGAATATTCTGTCAATACTCCTAAGTCTAGGCTTCACGCTTGGTTAACATGGGACTGCACAAACGCCTCGAAAGTCCGTTATGGCAGATTCACGAACTGACAACATAGTCATACAATTTAATGGTTACGGCAGAGTCAACTGCTATTTTTTTTGTCTCAAATTGAGTTCTTGAAGACAGTTGCTTAGTGACGCCGGAGAGTCGACAGCAAATTCAGCTTTCGCTGAAAATTTTATTATCGACAGACCACTTAACATCCTTGTTTGTTTTGTTGAAAAAAAGTATTGGTTGTAAATGAAAAAATTATTGGTTGTAACTGCAGCTGAAGGTGAACACAGCTAATATATATTGAGTGAAACGCGAAAGTCGGTCTTACAGCAATAAGGGAAAAGAAAAGGGACTGAGCAGTAGGAGCTCATGCGCTCACTGGCTGCCTAAAATCAATAAAATTCAGTAAGCTTTCGGTGTCCGTAGGAAGATTGTTGATCTATCGGGCGTCAATTTTGGGGTTGATGATTTGTTTAATAAAGAAAACTAAAACATTCAAATTTGATTGAGACGAAAAGCATGCTATCGAGATATTTTATCGGACGTTGTCCGTGCCAACCCTGAACACGAAGTTCCCTTTCGAATTATTGGGCTGTTTCTTTTTCTTTTTTGACAAGCCTCTCAGGGAAACTGAGTTTCAATAAGCTTTGATGTCTAAGTCGCGTTTTGGTCGCGCTAAAGCGAAAATTCAAATCCCCAGAAATATCGCTGAAATCGCATATTTGCCTCGCAACGGGCCACTTCCCCCCCTCCCCACCCCACACACGCACAAAAAAAGGAAACAAAAGTACAACACGCTGCTTCCGTCGGGTCGACATATAAATTTGTTCTAAAAGGAAGAAGTGTTCTAGCACTAGTTCATTCGTTTAATTTAGAAGCTTATAAAAATGCGCAGATCCATTCAGTCTTAAATAATGCGCAAAGACAAAGGTCTGAGGACAATGATGAGGTGTCGCTAGTATTCGTTTCCCAAGAAACAGCTCCAATAATTTTTCTTTTAATCGTCAAGGAAACAAACCAAACACTGTAAATTATAATGTGATTGCTTTGTTTGGACGCAATTTCGATCGTCAAAGTGAAACCAACGGTTAACGGCCGTTCCAAATTTCGGTTTTTGTTGGATTGGAAAAAGCACGCGGACTTGCTGTCGTACCAGTTTGCTCAGGGTGAGAGAGAAAGAGCGAACGAAAGAAAATATAATTTAATTTCAAAGAAGATGATTTGCATTGCGCCAAACAAATTAATTACTGTTGCAAGAATTCTTGGTAATTAACAAGGATTAACTTAGTAATTGACACTGCACTGTAAAAAAAAGGTATCATCCTCAACTTCAAAAAGAATAATTTAGTGAGATCTTTTGGGTTTATTGCTAACTTTTTTATTCTGTCAAGCTGTGATGTTTAATTTTGTCAAAAATCAAGGTTTTGAGGAAAAGGCCATCGATTTAACCTACTCCAGCGAAAATAAGTACCGAAAACGCCGACGCCGGGTCCGAAATAAGACAAGCAAGAGGGTTTTATCTTTTTTATTTGGTAAAATTGTTGGACCTTCGAGCGATACCCTTCTTACTCGGAATAACGACCAAAAAAATCTAATTCTAGTGAATTCTACTGACACAACTTAATATAACACTGTTTGACCGCGATCGCTTAAAATTGCTTCTTCGAAGTCCCGTGTAATGGCTCCATACAAATAATTGAGAAGACACAAATGAGCAAGTTTTGCTATAAAACCGGAAAGTTGAGAACTTATCAAACATGCGAAATTCGTTCTTCAGTTCACGAATTACACTTTTTCAGTTAACGAATGGACAGGGTTTCTGGAATAAATTTAAAGTGTTAAAATTAAGTGTACCAGAGTCCTTGATCGGCTTTGTTATCGAAACAATAGAGCTGTATTTTGTTTCTCGTTACTTGGTTACGGAGAAGTTCATAAAATCCATGGATTCAGTGTGATTCAACTATTTACTAAAAGGTTTTCGCTGCGGATTAATTATAAAACCGGCAAGAGTTTAGAAATCTTTTCCGTTAAGTATTACAGAAGACTTTCTGCAGTAATCATGGTGTCCAACTCTGGAAACAGAGAAGCTACATTCATACAATTCCTGGGCGTAACAGGTGAGCGATTGGAATAGGAATAAAACTTTGAGCCAAAATGGGCGGAACCCGTGAAATTAACGTTGGTCAGAACTGATTTAACTCAAGGAAGTACAAGATATAAAAAAAACATGTTGTTTCCTGGAAAATGATAACCGAAGTTTTATTCTGGCGTCCATGTTTTAGTGATATTTGTTTGTGTTTCTGAATTCTAATCGAACAGAAATCTCGAGAAGTCGGTCTCGCTTATTCAAGAACCAGGAATTAAGGCGACGAAACAGCCAACATCCTTGTAGAACAAATAATTATTACTTTGAGACTGTGTAATAGAGGAGCAAAGAGCATGTTGCTTAGGTAATTGTGTTTCTTGTCTGTTTTGACGGTGAAATCTTTTTCGAAAGCTCGTTGTCAATCGTCACGTAGCAACAAGCATATGCGTAAGCAAATAACGCTACTAGTGCAAATATACAATTATAAAGAAGTTAATTGGAGAAGGACAAGAAGTTGGCATTTCCAATAAGATAATCGTCTTTAATCTTTTATTAGTCTCGCTTTTAACTTAACCTTTCCCTCGCCAGCATTTGAAGCGTGTTCCTCATCAGACCATTATGTAAACTACTGCATCGTGTCAGTGAATACACGTGTGTTTTATTGAGGGGTGTATGCGTGATAAAAATTCTCTGCCTTCGCTCCAGGATTTTACTTTGATGTTTCAATGCAAGACCTGTGTCGAAACATAGAGTTTCTGACAACAGATACACTGACTACACGTCAGTCTTGTAACAGCGGTTCGGAACGATGTGACTATCAAACGGGGTTTTTAAAGCAGTAGACCACAAGTTCTTATGGTTTATAGGCTGATAAACCAAGCGGGATGTTGGAAGAACGCGGGAGGAATTCGTAAATCACTAGCCGCAGGCGAGTAATTTACGAATTCTTCGAGTGTTCTGCCACCATCCCAAGTGGTTTATCATTCCTCTAAACCATAGAAACTTGCGGTCTATTGCTTTTATATAATTCAGAAGACACGCGAACTTTCCATGAGTTTGCTGGCACAATAAACCATAGCTGATCGACCAATCAGAGCGCGCGCATTCATTTGATTATTATATAAACAATTACAATCCGTATTCTGTTTCTCAACCATGGTCTAACATATCCTAATCTCATTGCAGTTCTGGTGCTGTTTGCTGGCAAAGGAAGTTGCGACTCAAGTAAGTGCTTTGAAACTTAGTGAGCGTCAATGTTTTTAAACATTACAGCAGTTACTTGTTCGAACTAATCTTTTTGTGAATCCACTGGGCTATCGCCACAGTATATCACCTCGTGGATCCACAGTTACTTTGACAATGTTATGACGAAATTCATGATCAATAACGTGACAGACGCATGAAAAACTGACGTCAATTTGTTAAATTAATAGGGAGACTGCTAGTAGTTTTATGAGCCTTGTATTTACCTAGACCAGACCTAGACGAATTATACGGCCGAGAGATATAGTGGGTCTGTGTAACGTTTTCCGTATGTTATAGACGATAACGTTTTCTCTACAGTTTGCCCTGATGGTATTACAAACCTGACTGGCTCAAGTGGTGTCATAACACATTATGATTATGGTGTAAACGAAACAAAATGCTGGAGGATTGTAGTTCCAGATGGTTACGTCTCAATCGGTTGGACTTATGGCTTGTAAGTTTTTTTTCGCGTCTTTGAGGAGGGAACTGTTACAGCGTTCGTATCAAGAGAAGATGAAGGGAAGGTGGATCCTTTATGCAGGCCTTCTTCTAAGTAATCCCCCTCAATTTATTTTTAGACTAAAAGCCAACTCCCGGCTTTAGAAATTTCAGGAGTGTCTAGAAATTGGCAATCCTGTGACACAAATTTTGCCGGCTTCAGCTACTTGGCCATAGACAGTGCAAGCGGCTTTACGCGCATTTAATCCTCCACGAAAACATCCACGCAACGCGCGTGATAACATTATGCGCGCAAGGATTGGATTCGATGACTTTGGGAATAAGGCTTATCTCTAACCCTCAACTTCTCCTGTTTGTACTGAAGCGCTTCTTTCTACATGTAGCTTAAGATATTTCAACATGAGGAATAGGATTCGATAGCGATGATGAATTCACGAGCAGCGATTTTACATGTCATTGTAATTTTTACAAAAAAATTTTTAATTTGAAATTGAAGCCTCTCGGGAGGGTCACACAGAATTTGGTCATTTCACGTTGTTGTTGTGCAGAGGATGGCGAAGAAATGTACAAAGAATTATAGCGCACCTGCACAGCTATTTTTTTTGCTCATTAAAACTGTTTCAGTGGTGACGTAAGATGTAAAACATCTTTTTTCCGCTAGCTTTATTAGGGCCTGTTTACAAGGAGAGAGGGTTACCCTAGCAAGCGGGTTACCCTGGCACTCACACATTTCCTCCTTTTTTCCTCGTCGTGTTTATAAAGCAGCCAGGGTTACGAGCGTAGGCGGGTTACCCTATCTGCGTGCTAGGGTTACCCTGGCAGGGTAAACCTAGTACGCAAATCTCTAAACTTGCTTAAGCTAAATATGTAACGCCAGCGTTCAATTTATATTCCAATTGAAACTACGAAAAATTTGTCGCCGTCGTTCGCGTTCTTCAAAATACGCAGAACTTAGTCATGCTTAGTTGTTATTTTGCAGAGGACGGCAAAAAAATAACGCACGTGCACAGCTATTGTTCTACTTTACATTAAACCTTTTGTTTGGTGGCGTCCTCGTTGCCGTTGTCATCGTGGTTTGCTTAACTTTTAATAGGAACATAAATTCTGTGTTTTGCAGTGTTTTCTCGCCTGACTAACAAAAGAAGCTAAACGTATTCTTTAATTTGTGCCCCAGGTTCGATATCGAAATGTGCAAAAATTGTGAATGTGACTACATCCAGTCTTCAACCAGTTACGGCTCCCTGCAGTATGGATCGAAAGACTGTGGTCATTGGACCGCGAATTTCTTAGATTATCTAATTCAAGTGGGGAGCTCAAAGTCCGCTGGCGAGAGTTCAACGTCTATAAATGTACGTTTTGTGTCCGATGATACTGTCCATGGAAAAGGATTCAACCTCAGCTATGTCGCTGGTTCCTCTGATGGTAAGTCTGCATACGAGCTAAGTAGCCCATCAGGCTGGCGCTTAACCATGCAATCAGCCTGATATACATTGATGTGTTGTCATCATATTTATAAATGGCAAAAATAAAACAAGCAACGAAAAAAGAAACAGGGCGTTCTTTTGTAAAAATGAGCACCTGATCGCAGGTTATCCGGCGCTTATCTCCGGTTTCTGCAGCATAAAGCGACTAGAAGTATTTCTACTCCCCCCTGGATACGATGCTAGTCCATCGCAGGGTTACCCCCAGCATTAAATTAGCCGGTACCCATTTATACACCAGGGTGGAGAGAGGCATTGTGAGCTAGAGTTAAGAGTCTTTCCCATGAACACAGCACTATATATGTCCCCAGCCAGGGCTCGAACCCGGTCCGATTGATCCGGGGACCTAGCGCACTAACCGAGAGGCCACCGCGTCGCCACAAATGCGCAAGTTGACGCAATCGAATTTAACCTTGGCTGGGAGCTATGTCAAGGTTATTAGGGATAGCACCTGTCGCCTGTGGTGCCTGGCTTTGTGTGAGTTTTATTTCACAGAGCTTGGCTATGTCAGTTTGGCGCCAGGCACGGTTTTTAGCCGCGACCAGCTGCTTTNAAATTAGCCGGTACCCATTTATACACCAGGGTGGAGAGAGGCATTGTGAGCTAGAGTTAAGAGTCTTTCCCATGAACACAGCACTATATATGTCCCCAGCCAGGGCTCGAACCCGGTCCGCTTGATCCGGGGAATAGCGCACTAACCGAGAGGCCACCGCGTGGCCACAAATGTGCAAGTTGACGCAATCGAATTAAACCTTGGCTGGGAGCTATGTCAAGGTTATTAGGGATAGCACCGGTCGCCTGTGGTGCCTGGCTTTGTGTGAGTTTTATTTCACAGAGCTTGGCTATGTCAATTTGGCGCCAGGCACGGTTTTTAGCCGCGACCAGCTGCTTTCCTTCTGCTAGATGGTGCTCAAGGCAGAGCAACCTTAAGGTTACGAATCTGATCAGGAGCCCATGGGCTTCTGGATAGTTGAAAGCACTTGCTCGATTTTTTCCCGTGGCTTCCCTTGCCCGATTTTTTTTCCAGCAGTTTCTGCTGTTAGGGATTTTTTTTTTAACACTGCCAAGCCCCTCCCCCCTCAAAATATAATGGCCCACTTAAAAAAAGAAAAAAAAAAAAACAAAAAAAAANCAATCTTGTCATACTCTCACGTTTTTTCCTCCTCTCGCTTCTCTTCGGCTACATGTGTTTACCTCTAGTTTTGATTGAATTCTCTGGATTGTCTCTTTCCTTTGAGATTAGCCAGAGTGATTACTTTCGGTTTAGAGCGGTTTTCAACTGAGTGTCGTAAAAAAAAAACCAAACCAAAAAATTACCACTTAGAGACTGCTCAGCCAATCTCAGACCGTAGTAAAACCAAACCCAAAACCAAAACCAAAGTGACTGCCTATTTACTTTCGACACTTGATTGAAAACCACTCCAGTTCTACGACATACAATTGAAAACTGCTCTTTTGGATATGTAACAAGACAAACAATTTCCCAACATACACAGATATTCTCCCTTTCCATCGAGTACTTATCAACCTATTTTACTGCGTGCATAGGAGGAGGAAAGTCCTACCTGAATGCAACTGAGGAAGAAACCATCGAGTTTGGAACACCAAAAGTTGGCATCGAAAAATATCCTGAAAGCTTTGAGTATCAGTGGTTTTTGTTTGTCCCCAAAGGACGGCAGGTACAGATAGACTTCGACATGTTCGAATTGGAACAGAGTGACAAGTGCCAGAACGATTACATTGAGGTTCGAGAAGCTTCCTTTTCAGGTGGTAATCCTAAACAATTTATCGGACACTACGGTCCAATTCTTGTTGAACCTCGGTGTACAAACCCGGGAACCGTACAGAGCAAAGGGAATATGGTGTGGGTGCATTTCAAGAGCAACAGCAACTCAACCACTGTCTACAAGGGGTTCAAGGCTTCCTTTAAAGCAGGTTTGTGTCTTCCCGTTCAATGTAGTAAGAAATATCCACTATCGTACATACAGCTGTAACTAAAAACTACCCTAAGGGCCTGGCTCAATGGAGTAATGTTGTAAGAGTCAATATCAGTTCTACTAGCTTGGTCAATAAACTGGTTTATAGAGTGTTTTCACTTGACGTCATGGCAGCCATATTGGTATACCAAAATAATGAAAGGGCGGCCATGTTGGGTCCGAAAGCAATCCTGTGGGAGTTGAACTCTTTACTGTTTGTTGCAATAAGATTGCATGGCTGCTGGCCACGTGAGTGATAACGCTCTAATATATCATATACAGGACATCATTTTCTTTCGGGATACATATTATACATAGGGAAATCCCGAGCGTGCGAGATGAGGTTTTGTGCGCTCTGGGATAGCCAATCACAGCGTAGGGTTTAGTTCATCTTGCTCGCTGGCCAAGCTAACCATAGGATAAACGTTCTAATGAATGATCTGCGTGTTTTTTTTTTCACAGGTCAAAAAAGATTACTCATCAGTAATCCACTGACACTTCTGTTGCTATCAGCTTTGGTCATGGTTACATCGAAGAACAGTGTGCTTTGATACAATTGAGTGTGTACAAATCAGCCACCTTAGAAACCTGGGGCGAGTCTCATCTCGCAGCGCCTTTTGGGACCGATATTGGTGACATTATGCCTTCTCATCCATTGTTTTGTCTCCAGCGACGCCTCCCGGGGGTGCTCTGTAAATCATTGGGTAGGGGTGCGCCGCCGGGACACTGAAACTAGACCACGATCATCTTGATTTTGCAACCCTATTCTAGACTAGGCACCAAAAACCCCTACCCTATCCCAGACTAGCTATATTCGTGCAGAAACTTTATCGCTATCGTAGTCCAACATACGCTAACTAAACCAATATCTTACAAAGTAATTTTCGAGTTTCAATTTCTATTATAAAACCTCAGGTAAAGATTCCTGTTCTAGACTAAATGTTTTATACACTGGCCAATTTTCCTGTAATTTATACCCTATTCTACACCAAAACGGTCTGATTTCCATACCCTACCCCAAACTAAACGGCCTGAAAACCATGCCCTTCACAGCGTGTAAGTTGGGTGTACCCTCCCCGCTCCCCCCTGCCTATGCGACGGTCCACAAGGGATTACGAGATCTTACTCGTCCCGTATGGTTTCTCGTTTCTGAAGTGTGGTGAATCATGTCTTCAGGCACTCAGTTATAAATGTGTGGACAGTAATATTGTCTTGGACTATTGGACATTAACGTTTGACATTCTGCCTGCAAAGCTTCGTTACTTAAATAACCAAATATACAAAATTTACATTAATAATTACTTTCATGTATGATAACCGCCTATTTTCAGCACCTTTCTTGTATACATGTCACATTACAATTAAACCATTCTTTCAATAACAATTTAGAAATAAATGTGATAAATATCCCTTAGATATATAGCGTGTTGCCCATCTTCGCACAATATTTGAATCCAGAAAAAAAAGCTCGCCATCTAATTTTCTTTTTCAACCTTTTGCGATTCCTCAGTTTCCGTTGCAACATAGAAGGAAAATAAAAAAGCAAAGATAGCTGTACAGTGAAACCGGTTTTAAGCGGACACCCTCTTTTAAGTGGACACCAGCTTGAGTCCCTAAATTTTCTTCCTACATTTGCAGCAAAATAAACCTGCATTCAGCGAACACCTCTGTTAAGCGGACGCGGACACCAATTAAGCCATTTTAATTAGGTAACAGTCCTAAGAAAATACGCGCGCTGATTGGTTAAAAACCATGTTTCTATAACTCGATAGAAACACAGAACTAGCCCAAGCTGTTGACGTAATGATGGCGCGAGTAAAGAGAATTTATATTTTGATAATCAAAGTTAATAAGTTGTTTTCCTTTTCTTCGTCGCGGTGTTTTCTAAAAGAAATAGAAAACATGTTCTCCGTGTTTCTATCGCGTTATAGAAACACTTGTGAAAGTTTGGGAGAACTCGAAAAAGCTGTGGAAACACTCACCTGCGGCTCGTGTTCCCACAGCATTTCTCGTTAAACCAAACTTCCACTCGTGTTTCTATAACTCGATAGAAACACGGTACATGTTTTCTATTTCTTAATTGTCGCACAAAACCTGCAGTAAGCGGACACTCAAGGGCATTTTACCTCTAAGAGTTCAGCTGAGACTCCTTTAACATTGTTCAGCGATGTCGTTTTAAAGCTAAGTGATTATTCCAGATTGATACATTAACTGATTGGACATTGTGCTTTGAGCAGTCTTTGATCTCACACTGTGTTACACTATGTTACAAAAGGGTTAATAATTAACTTTTATTGCACAACATATTAGAACCTTTTTTGAGCGGACACCCTGTATTAAGCGGACACTAATGGGGGTCCCAACCGTGTCCGCTTAATACAGGTTTCACTGTATGTATTTTAAGCTGAGGGCCCCAAGTTTATCAGTAACTTAAGTTACTGTCACGGGTCACCCTCATTAAATAAAGTCTTTCACCTTCACTTCACTTTCACTTTCAGCTGTGTCCGGTACACGCCATAATTTTGTCTTGCAAGTGGTCAATGAAATTAACTTGTTCGGTTTTGGTTGGTCTCCAGGCACCGTTGCCCTTGGTTACCGAAGGCCGGGTAAGGAAGAAGGGCAGGGCTTGATAAGAGAGAGACGAAATTGGAACGCCTGGCAGATCTTGTTTTCAAATCACCAAAATGATTTTCAGGAGGCTGTATTACTTTGAATACGATTTTGTTTTCAGGGTATTTTTGTACGCGACTTGAAAAACCACATAACAACTAACGTAATACCACAGATTAAAAACTGAACTAACCATTTCTTTTGAAAATTAATTGAACAGCGTTTTCTACATGAGCCTCTGACTCTAATATGGAACGCAACCTCGTCCAACGTGTTCACATTGATAAACTTGTTGCTTGATTGAAGACACAAACACCGTACATCCCGTCCCTCCCCCCCCCCGCCCCCCAAAAGTTTATGTAACACAGGTCAGTTATTGCATTTTCCGAACATGAATAATTTAATAAAGCTTATGACTTATGTTATCTCAACTTGCGTGGAAACACGAAAAACCATGCTTGATCAAAGAAACCAAACCATCCCATTAAAAGAGAACTTTATACATTAAAACGTCACACTTAACTAGCTTGTTGAAAGCGATCTAACTGCCGACTAAACCTGTCATTTGAAATTTCGGAGCTGTGGGAACACATAATTAAACACAGGCACTATCGAAATTTTTTGTTTTTAAAAATGTTATTGTTATAAATTTGCGGCAAGTGTGGAGAAAATTACTGTCTAAGTTTTTAAAAAGCTAAAACGTTCGTGTTATAGTTAATAACTTGGAACGCACTCGAAGCTAACCGGAGAATTCAGATTTTAGAACAGACCGTCTACAGAAGCAATCATGAACAAAGTTGAAAGGAAAAGAAGTGCCATGGGATTCCTGACTGACAATCCTCCCTGACCTGAAAACACAACAAAGTTAATGAATTAAAAACATCATTAAAAACAGCCAAAAGAGTGATTGCATGGGAAGCTACTGAGTGAGTTGTCCAGAAAAGAACACTAAACCTTTTGCTGTGAATCTTAAGAATAATTATGATTCGTTCAAATGTTCCAATGTTGTTGTTTGTAGTGGCCAAGGCGCTTGGCTACACTTAGCTAGTTCACAGGCATGCCACCCAACTGGTGGGGGAAGACCAGTTGGCTATTTACAAACATGACCGAGGGAACTTGACCTAGGGTCTACTGAGAAACAGCTCCTTCCGCGCTGCCTCCTGTACTGTATGACACTGGGATATCACGCACCTGCTTTAAATGAGGCTTTGAATCCTTTGTAGACAGTGGTAGAGTTGTAGTCACTCTCGAAGTGCACCCAAACCATGTTCCCAGTGCTCTGTATGGTGTTCGGCTTTCTATTGCCGCACAGGCGTCCGGTCAGGATTGGACCACGGTATCCTTCTAGATCTCCTGGGTCTCTCTTATCAATGGCGGCTTCACGGAACTCAACGTAGTCGTTTTTGCAGTTCTCACTCTCCTCCAGTTGGAAAATGCCGAAGTCTATCTGGACCTGTCGCCCTTCAGGGACAATTAAAAACCACTCGTACTCGGAACCAGAGCGATAGTTTTTAATGTCAGCTTTCGGTGTCCCAAACTCAATGGTTTCATCTTCAGTTGCGTTCAGGTAGGACGTTCTCCCTCCTGTGTATGGAGTGGAACAGTCTTTATCACTTATTATGGTTTAAATCTACTAGCGTTCTATCACGAATGCCGTTCTCTGATTGCCTGCGTTACTCACTATTTATTCTGTGATAGATAGTGAGTAGCGTAGCAGTGTACCCTTGTTAACAAAATGACGGCCGCTGCTTGGTGTTTTCGAAGTGTCTGTGAAGAGGATTTTAATTAATTTTTTGACGACTAGTAGATTCGCTCTCGATTTCTATGCGTCATAGTTGACTCGGGCTGCGCCCTGGTCAACTATCACGCGATAGAAATCTCGAGCTCATAATCTAATTGTTTATGAGAAAATGGCCCAAAGACAATACGCGCGCTAATTGGTTTAAAATCTTTTTTCTAAAACTCGATAGAAACACGTTATTTAATTAATCTAGTTATATGCAAAAGCGATTAATGGCCCGCCTAGATTAGCACTTGCTATCCGTGGGCCAAATAACATGTAGTTTTGAAATGAAGGAGAGTAAATATTATTGTTGTTATTTTTTTTCTCCGAATATGTTTTGTATTTCTTAAATGAAAAATGCAAATGACCACGTTTTATCAAGAGAAGAGTAAGAGTAAGTTGTTTTTACATCACTTCCGCCTTCAGTAATCAGAGGATGGTCTAGAAGTAGCCAATCATGTGACATGAATTTCAATCTCGTGGACAGCTCAAGCAGCTTTACATGCATTCTCATTCTCCACGAAAACATCTGTTTACGTAACGTGCGGGAGGCCTGGATCCAGATCTATAGATACCTTCAGTGGAATTACGTTGGCAAAGAAACCAGTATAGGGGATTAGTATAAATCTTCTAGCGTTCTATCATTGGCTACACTACTCACCATCTACTCTTTGCGTTTTTGAGGTGTCTGTGAAGAGCCTTTAGATCAAGTTTTGAACGACTAGCAGATTTACTGAAAAACAATTAGATTGTTCGCTCCCGGGCTGCGCGATTGAAACCTCAAAGCTCCTAATCTAATGGTTAGTTCTCAACAATACTTACCAGTATAGGACTGAGCAATAAACGTCAAGTTAAATCCCTTGTGATGAACGGTTTCATCCGATGCAAAACGAATGTATGCCGTCGTACTACTTGACGAGCCATCCTTTGGATCTCCCACAAGACGTTGATACTCCAAATAGCCGTCGCTGAATCGCCCACAACTTCCAACATACTTCAAACTATCGTAAGATGAAGAAATCCTCAGCGAGTCGCACTCACAAGATTCACATTTTTCGATGTCATACCTGGGGACATAGATGAGTCGAGTTTTTTAGTAGCTGTAATTCGACTGAAACTGGTGTTTAGTGCTCCCTAATTGATATTTTAAACGCCGGCCTTATAGGTTTTATTTTTAATAAAAACTGGATCATTGGATAATGCAATTCGAGAGATTTCATTGGCTTAGCCATCATGAGTTATCAACAATTGTACCATGCTCTACAAATATGGTAAGCGTACACGTGATGTTTTGGGCGTTCTTATTTTTGTGTGGTTTTCTATTTTTTGGGGGCGTTTTTAATAAAACAAAATTATCCCCTCGCGCTTGTCGGATATGAGATGATTACAGCCAACTCATACCCAACGCAANCCCCCCCGCCTATGCGACGGTCCACAAGGGATTACGAGATCTTACTCGTCCCGTATGGTTTCTCGTTTCTGAAGTGTGGTAAATTATGTCTTCAGACACTCAGTTATAAATGTGTGGACAGCGATTTTGCCTTGGACTATTGGACAGTAAAGTCTGACATTCTGCCTGCAAAGCTTCGTTACTTAAATAACCAAATATACAAAATTTACATTCTTTCATGTATGATAACTGCCTATTTTCAACACCTTTCTTGTATACATGTCACATTACAATTAAACCATTCTTAAACACTTGGGTAATAAATGTGATAAATATCCCTTAGATATATAGCGTGTTGCCCTTCTTCGCACAATGTTTGAATTCAGAAAAACAAGCTCGCCATCTAATTTTCTTTTTCAACCTTTTGCGATTCCTCAGTTTCCGTTGCAACATAGAAGAAAAAAAAGCAAAGATAGCTGTGCAGTGAAACCGGTTTTAAGCGGACACCCTCTTTTAAGTGGACACCAGTTTGAGTCCCTAAATTTTCTTCCTACATTTGCAGCAAATTAAACCTGCATTCAGCGAACACCTCTGTTAAGCGGACGCGGACACCAATTAAGCCATTTTAATTAGGTAACAGTCCTAAGAAAATACGCGCGCTGATTGGTTAAAAACCATGTTTCTATAACTCGATAGAAACACAGAACTAGCCCAAGCTGTTGACGTAATGATGGCGCGAGTAAAGAGAATTTATATTTTGATAATCAAAGTTAATAAGTTGTTTTCCTTTTCTTCGTCGCGGTGTTTTCTAAAAGAAATAGAAAACATGTTCTCCGTGTTTCTATCGCGTTATAGAAACACTTGTGAAAGTTTGGGAGAACTCGAAAAAGCTGTGGAAACACTCACCTGCGGCTCGTGTTCCCACAGCATTTCTCGTTAAACCAAACTTCCACTCGTGTTTCTATAACTCGATAGAAACACGGTACATGTTTTCTATTTCTTAATTGTCGCACAAAACCTGCAGTAAGCGGACACTCAAGGGCATTTTACCTCTAAGAGTTCAGCTGAGACTCCTTTAACATTGTTCAGCGATGTCGTTTTAAAGCTAAGTGATTATTCCAGATTGATACATTAACTGATTGGACATTGTGCTTTGAGCAGTCTTTGATCTCACACTGTGTTACACTATGTTACAAAAGGGTTAATAATTAACTTTTATTGCACAACATATTAGAACCTTTTTTGAGCGGACACCCTGTATTAAGCGGACACTAATGGGGGTCCCAACCGTGTCCGCTTAATACAGGTTTCACTGTATGTATTTTAAGCTGAGGGCCCCAAGTTTATCAGTAACTTAAGTTACTGTCACGGGTCACCCTCATTAAATAAAGTCTTTCACCTTCACTTCACTTTCACTTTCAGCTGTGTCCGGTACACGCCATAATTTTGTCTTGCAAGTGGTCAATGAAATTAACTTGTTCGGTTTTGGTTGGTCTCCAGGCACCGTTGCCCTTGGTTACCGAAGGCCGGGTAAGGAAGAAGGGCAGGGCTTGATAAGAGAGAGACGAAATTGGAACGCCTGGCAGATCTTGTTTTCAAATCACCAAAATGATTTTCAGGAGGCTGTATTACTTTGAATACGATTTTGTTTTCAGGGTATTTTTGTACGCGACTTGAAAAACCACATAACAACTAACGTAATACCACAGATTAAAAACTGAACTAACCATTTCTTTTGAAAATTAATTGAACAGCGTTTTCTACATGAGCCTCTGACTCTAATATGGAACGCAACCTCGTCCAACGTGTTCACATTGATAAACTTGTTGCTTGATTGAAGACACAAACACCGTACATCCCGTCCCTCCCCCCCCCCGCCCCCCAAAAGTTTATGTAACACAGGTCAGTTATTGCATTTTCCGAACATGAATAATTTAATAAAGCTTATGACTTATGTTATCTCAACTTGCGTGGAAACACGAAAAACCATGCTTGATCAAAGAAACCAAACCATCCCATTAAAAGAGAACTTTATACATTAAAACGTCACACTTAACTAGCTTGTTGAAAGCGATCTAACTGCCGACTAAACCTGTCATTTGAAATTTCGGAGCTGTGGGAACACATAATTAAACACAGGCACTATCGAAATTTTTTGTTTTTAAAAATGTTATTGTTATAAATTTGCGGCAAGTGTGGAGAAAATTACTGTCTAAGTTTTTAAAAAGCTAAAACGTTCGTGTTATAGTTAATAACTTGGAACGCACTCGAAGCTAACCGGAGAATTCAGATTTTAGAACAGACCGTCTACAGAAGCAATCATGAACAAAGTTGAAAGGAAAAGAAGTGCCATGGGATTCCTGACTGACAATCCTCCCTGACCTGAAAACACAACAAAGTTAATGAATTAAAAACATCATTAAAAACAGCCAAAAGAGTGATTGCATGGGAAGCTACTGAGTGAGTTGTCCAGAAAAGAACACTAAACCTTTTGCTGTGAATCTTAAGAATAATTATGATTCGTTCAAATGTTCCAATGTTGTTGTTTGTAGTGGCCAAGGCGCTTGGCTACACTTAGCTAGTTCACAGGCATGCCACCCAACTGGTGGGGGAAGACCAGTTGGCTATTTACAAACATGACCGAGGGAACTTGACCTAGGGTCTACTGAGAAACAGCTCCTTCCGCGCTGCCTCCTGTACTGTATGACACTGGGATATCACGCACCTGCTTTAAATGAGGCTTTGAATCCTTTGTAGACAGTGGTAGAGTTGTAGTCACTCTCGAAGTGCACCCAAACCATGTTCCCAGTGCTCTGTATGGTGTTCGGCTTTCTATTGCCGCACAGGCGTCCGGTCAGGATTGGACCACGGTATCCTTCTAGATCTCCTGGGTCTCTCTTATCAATGGCGGCTTCACGGAACTCAACGTAGTCGTTTTTGCAGTTCTCACTCTCCTCCAGTTGGAAAATGCCGAAGTCTATCTGGACCTGTCGCCCTTCAGGGACAATTAAAAACCACTCGTACTCGGAACCAGAGCGATAGTTTTTAATGTCAGCTTTCGGTGTCCCAAACTCAATGGTTTCATCTTCAGTTGCGTTCAGGTAGGACGTTCTCCCTCCTGTGTATGGAGTGGAACAGTCTTTATCACTTATTATGGTTTAAATCTACTAGCGTTCTATCACGAATGCCGTTCTCTGATTGCCTGCGTTACTCACTATTTATTCTGTGATAGATAGTGAGTAGCGTAGCAGTGTACCCTTGTTAACAAAATGACGGCCGCTGCTTGGTGTTTTCGAAGTGTCTGTGAAGAGGATTTTAATTAATTTTTTGACGACTAGTAGATTCGCTCTCGATTTCTATGCGTCATAGTTGACTCGGGCTGCGCCCTGGTCAACTATCACGCGATAGAAATCTCGAGCTCATAATCTAATTGTTTATGAGAAAATGGCCCAAAGACAATACGCGCGCTAATTGGTTTAAAATCTTTTTTCTAAAACTCGATAGAAACACGTTATTTAATTAATCTAGTTATATGCAAAAGCGATTAATGGCCCGCCTAGATTAGCACTTGCTATCCGTGGGCCAAATAACATGTAGTTTTGAAATGAAGGAGAGTAAATATTATTGTTGTTATTTTTTTTCTCCGAATATGTTTTGTATTTCTTAAATGAAAAATGCAAATGACCACGTTTTATCAAGAGAAGAGTAAGAGTAAGTTGTTTTTACATCACTTCCGCCTTCAGTAATCAGAGGATGGTCTAGAAGTAGCCAATCATGTGACATGAATTTCAATCTCGTGGACAGCTCAAGCAGCTTTACATGCATTCTCATTCTCCACGAAAACATCTGTTTACGTAACGTGCGGGAGGCCTGGATCCAGATCTATAGATACCTTCAGTGGAATTACGTTGGCAAAGAAACCAGTATAGGGGATTAGTATAAATCTTCTAGCGTTCTATCATTGGCTACACTACTCACCATCTACTCTTTGCGTTTTTGAGGTGTCTGTGAAGAGCCTTTAGATCAAGTTTTGAACGACTAGCAGATTTACTGAAAAACAATTAGATTGTTCGCTCCCGGGCTGCGCGATTGAAACCTCAAAGCTCCTAATCTAATGGTTAGTTCTCAACAATACTTACCAGTATAGGACTGAGCAATAAACGTCAAGTTAAATCCCTTGTGATGAACGGTTTCATCCGATGCAAAACGAATGTATGCCGTCGTACTACTTGACGAGCCATCCTTTGGATCTCCCACAAGACGTTGATACTCCAAATAGCCGTCGCTGAATCGCCCACAACTTCCAACATACTTCAAACTATCGTAAGATGAAGAAATCCTCAGCGAGTCGCACTCACAAGATTCACATTTTTCGATGTCATACCTGGGGACATAGATGAGTCGAGTTTTTTAGTAGCTGTAATTCGACTGAAACTGGTGTTTAGTGCTCCCTAATTGATATTTTAAACGCCGGCCTTATAGGTTTTATTTTTAATAAAAACTGGATCATTGGATAATGCAATTCGAGAGATTTCATTGGCTTAGCCATCATGAGTTATCAACAATTGTACCATGCTCTACAAATATGGTAAGCGTACACGTGATGTTTTGGGCGTTCTTATTTTTGTGTGGTTTTCTATTTTTTGGGGGCGTTTTTAATAAAACAAAATTATCCCCTCGCGCTTGTCGGATATGAGATGATTACAGCCAACTCATACCCAACGCAAGCTCGTGGAATAATTGTTAAATAGTCCGTCGAGTGTGACACAAACGAAAACGCGCGAAAGGTAACTAGCTGTGCGAGAACGAGAAAGAGGCTTGCTGGTAGTGTACTCAAACTGAGGGGGGAATGTTTTGCTGGTAGGCTTTACGCCGTCCCTTTTAAAGTTCAGCCAGTATACCTGAACTCTATCGAGATACCGCGAAGCAGTGTCAGGGATAAACGTCAATATATATGCAAGTTGAGGGG